CCAATGATTCGATTCAGCTAGCGAATATCCGGTCCCTTTTACGGTTTTTTAAACATATTTTTGACTTGGAATTGTTGCATCGCATTAAAAAATGGAGAAATTGCTCATGAAAGTCAAAACAAAAACGCTGTGAAGGCCAAAATTGGGAGTATTACCGCCTTAGCCAAGAAGATTTTTGGCTTAAAAAAGGGTGAGTGGCTTTAAGGCCTATTGAACGGTGGTTATCAAAGCTAAATAAATTCCTACGGGGAAGATTTTTCTGCCTCCTTCTCCCGGTTTTTCGTATTTCGAAAATAGATCGGGGGAGCAGCAGGGAAGGGAGGGGAAATGGCGAGAAAAGTGAGGGGAAATGGCGAGAAAAGGGAGGAATGGCGAGGGGAGGGGAAGAGAAGAGAGGCGTGTGCCTTTTCTGCCATTAGCTAAAGTTATTCATGCACTATGCTGTTTGAGTCATCTTTAGGCACTTCAGGCGATATTGTTGACGACAGGCTTATAGCATTTTGTGAGGAATGCGAATTGTTTGAGGGTGATAGCAAAAATATTGACATTGTTCGATTATTTCTGTTGAAACGCCTGAAAAATCTCGACCCAAAAAAGTAAGTTTTGGCCATAATAATAGAAATTTTTTTCACTGACTTGTCCAGAACATTGCTATTCCTGGACCACGATGAGATGCTTTGTCGACTAAGATTTACGTGGAGCGCTGGGGATTAGCATAAGTGAACGGAAAGCGCTACGCGGTCGCCACCTGCTGTTTCTTTGGTTGCGCATACATCCAGAATTGAATGCCGTTGAGAATTCTGTTCTACCAATCTCGAACAACCGCCCTTTCCTCCCAAAAAGCAAAATACCTTAAGAGGGCCTCTTCACTATGAGCCAATAACGCCAAACTGCATTTGTTAATACATAGAAGATTTCAGTCTCACGTTCTCATCCAGTCTCCTTGCCAGGAATATTCACTGTTTGTATCTTTCAAATTTCTACAACACATGGTACGAAAGTAGCAACGCTTGGTGAAGATGGGTGCTGATGCTTAACGCACACCGTTGAATTTTTTGGCCAGAATGCTCTTTTGAGAGGTTCAGGAAACTAAGAAAATGTTGGAATTGCAAGAAGACTGATTACCAGGCCTGGAGAGCATTGAACAAAATAACTATGAAATGAAGAAGAAAGAAAATGGGCGATTTTCCGTTGTGGCACTGAAGCATTCCCCATCGCCCATCCAGTCCGTCAATGGTCCGCCTATGCTGGTGGTCGAGTAGCCATATTTCAACAATCAACTAACTGTTCTTATTTTTCTGGAAAAACAGATGTTACGGATGAAAACTGAGCTAAAAAACAACATGAGAAATTTAATGGATCTAATATTTTCTGCGGAAAAACAATAGAAGGAAATAAGAAATAGACGTCGAGGCCGATTAGCACATTGAAAAGAAGGCAGCACGTGAAATTTTTAACGGGAAAATTGCTAGCTCAGGAACCAGAAAAGTTGGAAAGCTGGAATTTTAACGGAATGTTCCCTGTCTTACCAATACGTAGTTATTCAATTAATTTCCTGAACTTCAAGGACCAGCACATCTGATCATAATAGTCACGGACGTTTTACCAGCCCACATCAAAGAAGATGAATGCCACGATGAAAAAACGGTTGATCAGAGTATAAAAGTAAAACTTCTTGATGGGCAAGCAGTTCATGCATCGTGAAATCTTGCTTTTTCTCGATTTTCTAAATAATACTTTTTAA